GCCTTGTTCAAATTGTCGATCCCGCTAGATACTGTTTCTCCGAAACTGTAATAAAGATCTACTCAGCATAGTTCCAGTAAAGGGCTGTATGGGTGTTGAATAAACGCACAAATGCGCCTGAGCAAGCATCTGCAATAGGTATTGGCTAGCTGCCCTAGTAGACTGGTATCCTCGAATACAAGTGTCCATCTATATATATATATATATATATATATATATATATATATATATATTGAACAATAAGAAAATAAAAAAATTAAAATCTTTAGTCACACTGGGTTGTAGATTAATATTCTTTCGTTTTTTTTTATTATTATTCCATTTAGATTCCTCGACTAGTTTCGACCGAAATGGCCATCATCGGGAGGAGAAATATTTCTGCTTGCTGGTAGCAGTGAACTACAAAAATGAATGTCTTGATGGAGAAAATGAACTTTTGTCTGTAGTTTTCATTTGTTTTTTTAATTTTTTTTAATCTTTTTAACATGAATCTTTTAACATTCCTTGTGTTGGTTAAACAGTCTCTTTTAAGTTGTTATTTGAGATAAGAGCTGGATAGATACATGCTGCTCTGAATTCTCTGGTCAGTTTGACAGTTTTATTGGTCCTGGAGAGGGGATGTGTCTCTGTTTAATGTTTGTGCGTGTGTTATTTGGTTCTTAGGGAGTGAGTGAGTATGATATGTGTAAGCGTGTGTATTGCTGTAGGTGTGTCTTATAATTTGGCTCATTAGGGAGTGAGTGAGTATGATGTGTGTAAGTGTGTATATTCGTGTGGGTGAGTGTATAAGTGTGAGGCCTCCACACCTCCGTAAGCATGTCTGTCTTGTGTGGGTGAGAAATGTGGGTAGGTTTTGATTTGTTGAGTTATATATTGGTACTATCTGTATTGTTAAATTTATGATTTAGCACGGCTGGGTATTTTGTTTTTAGACGTTGTATCCACTTATTTTCATGGGACTCTAAAATCTTTCTAATATTATCTGCTCTGAACTTTTCTATTCTCTCAATTATAGTGAATTTGGCATGGGTTTTGAAATCATGTTTTTCTATGCGGAAATGTTGTTCTACAGGTAATAATTTTTCATGGGGAGTCGACTTAATTCGCTTACGATAATTATTAATTCTGTAGTGAAAGGGCCATTCAGATTTTCCTACACATTGTTTCTGGCATAGTGTGCATTCTAGGATGTAAATTATGTTATGACTTCTACAGTTAGAATCGTGGTAGATTTTGAAAGTAGATTTAGTGATTGAGCTAGTGAATGAATTCGTGTTTTTAATATGGTTGCAACATAAATTTCTTTTGTTGTTACATGGTTGGGAAAATCCTGTTGTTTTTGTTCTTAGTTCATTACGGATTACCTTGTAATATATATATATATATATATATATATATATATATATATTGTGCGCCAGAAATACTTCCCACATATATTTATCACATAAATGTAAGATATTAGCTGCAGGGTACGGTGGCAGAAATGCGTTTCGCATATAAGACATTAGCGAGATGAACACATCATTGATTCATTGATTGATTTATTCATTTTCTACGGATTATCAACCCTTTGTGTTTTATTCGATTGATTGACGTCATTTGTACACATTACCAACTTTTTTACAGGTTATTTAAAGTCAGAAAATATTTTTAGACTGTAAGAATTTTTTCAAAGGTGTCCATGGGTTGGCTGATGTGGGATAATTGATGATTATTGTTATATTTTGCCTATTTGATGAGCTTTTTTCTATTATTTCATAACAAGAGTCAATGGATCATCTCTATATAAACTTACCTTCCCAAGGAAACCCGGCGAACAGGCAAATAAACACTATATATAAATAATAATATTACGGTGATTACCTACAACCAATCTAAGTAATGTTGAAGTTCTCGTGAAAGGTCATGTTGGGTGTTAGAAGGAGATGTAGACAACTGATTCAAAAACCGATTTCTCCTTACACATCATTTTCAGATCATAGTTGATATGAAATAGTCACGTTTGATGAGATGACTTTCGCTTTTGATTGTCGGTGCTGCTGAAGGCATTAAATTTGACAGAAGCACTTTATTTACTGCAGTCTGAATTATCGGCAGCGGGAATCCACTCGGCAGCTGTCAGTTGAAATTGGATTCTTCACTTCGACGTAGCCATGAGTAGGCAGAACAGATGACGGAAAGAATAACGGTTTATATGAGAAAACATGTGCATCGACGCTGCAATGGCGCTGCCTGTGCGGAAAGAGAAGGAAACGTGTTGCGTCGACGGCATTGACTATATTGAGAAGACCAAAACAGCAAGCAAGTATTCCTTATTCGGCTTCAAATGCGCATGGACACACACACACACACAAACGCCCGTATACCGAGTGTAACATCAAAACTGTCCAAACCGTGTAACAGCATAATTGTCCATCCGACGAAATGTTTAATATCTAAAGACCTATTAAACTAATTGAGTTCTTTTTTACATGCTTTCAGATAAGACGTTTAGCTGTCTTGATACCATTTATAGTAAGAATGACTGAAGAACTCTTTAAGTTATTCCCCTAAAAACAAAACAGGTTACGACCATTTTGTATCAGCCACACTATGTCTTCCCAACTGAGCAATGGTGTGAAGAAAAAGATCATTCAGGCTTTCAGTAATAGTACTAACATTCGTACTCTGGCTTCCGTCTTCGAATTCCATTCAAAAACCATCAAGGGAACGGTGAATAAATTTAAAACAGAGGGGAGAGTAAAGATGAAAACTGGATCAGGAGGTCACAACAGGAAGAGGCATCATCAGTTCAACTTAGAGCTAAATAGATCAACTAGAAAAGATCCAACTCAATTCATAAGACGATTGTCGTGTGAGAGAAGTTTCAGCTATGACAGTGTAGTGAAAAAAGACTTGAAAATGAAATCGTACTTGAAACGTGAGAGGCATCTTGTTACGCCAGGACTGAAAGTTAGAAGTTAGCAGAGAGCGAAGATCATCTTCAATAAGTTTGAAAATGATCCTGAAATATATATATATATATGAAATTTATTTCAGTCATTCATGATCTTCCGATCCGTAGCCATAATTACTTAATAACGAACGTGTAATTTTTGTTTGTGATCGATTTAATCACGATTCGTCTGTTAATATATTTTCTGTTTAGACGTTATTTTTAGATACATAAAAAATTTCGTAGAATATATGCGTTCTCTGACAGGAATCGAACTTGTGTTCTCATATGGAAAATTTCATTTGATATGAGGTGCTATAATATTTAGCTACAGAGAACGGATATTTTTACAAAATTTCTCGAACAAGGTCGATAAATTTAATAGCTTTTTGTAACTGCCTCAGCAAGTTAGCATAGTACTCTCCATTGATGGTGTGGCCCTTTTGAAGATAGTCAATAAGCACAATGCATTTTGCTTCCCAAAATAACTGATGCTATCACCTGCAGATGAGTGCAGTTGTGGAGGGGTGTTTCCTCCGTATGGATTCTCTCTTTGTCTCTAGCTCAAAATAATAAATCCAGCACTCATCCTGGGCGAGGAAACGTTCAAGAAAAAACCAGCTGGATCTGCCTCAAACAATGTCATATTTTCCCGTGATGGGTTCAGCCTGGTACACTTTTCATCAGGCGACAGAATGCCTGACACCCACCGAGCAGACACCTTCGTCATGCCAAGTTGATTGTGGAGAATATTGTCAACTCTCTCACGGGATATGCTAATAGCATTCACTATTTGATTTATAGTCAATCGTCAGTCATCCATCATCATGTGATGAGCAATATCCATATTTTTCTCGTTAGTGCAGGACGTTCAAAACTTGTGTCATCTTCAGGATTCTTCAGACGTGGCGTTGCCACCCTCTGTCTTTTTTTTTTTAAATAGTTTCACAGTAACTGCTCCGATGAGCTGTTTTCGCTCCTTCCCAGACTTCACGAATTTAAGCGTTCAACTAGGCTGGCATCTCACTCTCGCCCTTTCACTGTCGAAACTGTTAAATGTAGCCGTCGCTTCTACTCCAATAGCTTCATGTCTCGCACTTCTCGCCTGTGGAACTCCCTCCCCAGTTCATGTTCTCCTGATAGCTATAAACCCCAACTATTCAAATGTAATGTCAATCGATGTCTACAGATACCCCGATTCATCGCCTAACCTTCTCTTCATCTTTTCCTCTATCACTCCTCTTTGCTCTCGCTCCAACTCTCAGTAACCCCTTGCGTGCTAGTGGCTTCCCGCCTTGCTTGGAGTTGAATGCTTAAAAAAAATCCAGCTGCCCACTTTTAAACAGCATCGTCAATACCTGATGTTCAAACCATGTCAGCATGAAAGCCTTTGGGGGCTAAACCCTTTTTTTCTGCAGGTAGTTAGAAGAATCGCTACTAGTTACATATGAAGTTTCCTTTGATCAGTCAGATAGTGTAACTGGAAAGAGACAATGCAGTTATAAAGAAGAAGAGTTGAAAGCAATGCATGCAATATTTCACAGCTCAAGCATCACTCCTTCATAGTCAGCCTATAAACTTTTTTTTTAGGTCACACACGTAGTATAAGTCGAAGTTCCTACGAGGAAAACTAATTAGAAAATACGACGACTATTTACACACACACACACACACACAAAAATAGCAGAGAAAGTTACGTTAAGAAGGTAGGAACAATTGAAAATAATAATAAGCACGTTGAATTCTTTTACTGATTTTTATATCATCTTATATTAATCAGCACGCACGTATTCTCTCTCTCTAAGCAGTATTTATTTTCTATGTTTATTATTAAATTTGGCGAACATCATCATTTGGTGGTACACATTTGGATCTCGGCAGGTTTTCAGCTGATATCCATTGTATTGCTGGAAGCATAAAATAGACAAGCTCGCAGCTATAAACAAATTAAACTGCATGCATTTGGCGTTTGTATATATATAGAGAGAGAGAATAAGCGAGATTCGAAGGTTGCTACAATCTTTTTATTTTACAACCACATACACAAACACACAAACACGGGCTTACTGCCATATCACGTTGAAACAGCGATTCCCGTACGTTCATCGAAGTTAAACAGTGTTGCGCTTTGTTAGTAGTTAGATGGGTGATCGCTTGGGAAGAAATGTGCTCTAAGCTTGGATCGGGTGGTGTAATGGAACTTGGCCCGAAATTAGAAATCGGAGAGCCGAGTTCGATTCCAGTCTGGTCCCTTTTTATACACTTGGGCCTAAATAACCTTGAGAAAGATATTAATCCACCTCTTCTCCCCTCCAGCTATGAGTTAATTAGTAGGAATTTTAGTAGTAAATCATTATTATCTCCAAAACAATTCTTACTTTCAAGAACTATTTTCTGGTTTTAAATAACCTGCAAAAGGTTGACAAGCCGTAAAAACAATTCACACACACAGGTAAATATATACATTTGAAAAAAGGAGTCTTCTGTGGTTTCTAACGTTTGAGTTTCAAGGATCTACTTTCTTAGAACGGAACAGTAAACCGCACATATAATTTGATTACACCTGTTAAGACTTGTACAGAACCAACCCCAATTTTCAGAAAAATCAAATACAGCGAACTGGTGCACATATTGTCACACATAGCCTCCCAACGATCCTCCTCAGGTTTTGTTATTGAGAGATTTCCTTCTCCTAGTCTATAGGACCCAGAATGTCCTTCTATTCATTCATAGATCAGATAAGAACAGATGCATTCAAAACTTTACCAAGGTTATTTTCGCCTAACGGAATGTAACGAACTTGACTAAAATTCGAAATACTCTCTGTCTCTGTCTCTCTCCCCCCTCTCTCTCTCTCTATATATATATATATATATATATATTTATAATAATAATAAATTAACTGGTTTAAAATATGGTTTTCCAAGGATACAGAAAAATCAAAATCATTCAGACAAGAGTGAATTATGACTTTTTGTGTGCGTTTGAAACTCAGTAAATTTAAAAAATATTCGCTTGAAGATGAAATGGAACTAATGGTTTTAATCTAATTACAAAATTAAATTTGAAGTTTTTAGCCTCCATTTTTGAAACATGGTTATTACTGTGTAGCGAAAAAAAACATATTTTAAACCACTTAATTTATAATATTTATGTTCTGTAAATTTACATTTAGCACTGTTTTGTAAAAATAAAAAAAATTATCAATAAGAACACCGGATTATATAACTTACTGTTCTTATATATATATATTGTTTAAACGTGATGTAATGGAATAACCTGTCACCCATGAGGTAGTAAATACTTAAAAAGTAGGTAAGTCAACGGACTACGGAGTCTAATCCGAAAGGCAGAGTTTCGTCCGAGAAGTTAAACAGATGTTTTCTAGCTTAGCCTTTTTTTAAATAGCCTTGTGCCACATCTTATAGGCTGGTAAATATTCCATCCGTTCGACTCAGACTTTCGAGAAACGACCTCTCAATAGTAGCAAACTGTTACGATGTCAACTGTTACCTTATTTCTTATTGTACCGAGTCACGACTATGGAACAGTAGGACAATGGATTAGAAATAAAAGATGATACAATTTTCCTGTCCGCTCGATGGTTTGGGCAAACAGTAATCGTTTTTCCTTGAGCTTAAGAAAATTGGGAAGTTCTCCGTAATCTGTGTTAAAGTTGCATGGGATCTCCAACTGATGTTCTAGATTTTTTTTAAATAGATTTGCATTCCATCCGTTCGTATTTCAAAACGAAAAGTTATCGTCAAGTTTTGATCACACAGTAGGACTGGTTCAATAAATGTTTTCTAAGGGGAATCTGTCAAATCTTGTGAAGTTTAAGCATCCCATGCAGGATCTTTGTGGATTTTGAAGTCTTTTTTGGGAATCTGTTTTGAGATTCAAGATATTTGAAGTTCTCAACTCTTTTTGATTGAGTGACTTCAACTCGGATGGTTCAGGAGAGGTTGTGATATATTCTGTCTTACTCTCATTGCAATAGAACCTGGTTCACTGATTGCTGAAGTGAATTCTGCATTCTTTGTTTGAGAAATTAATGAAAGATCATCGTCAGAGTCAAGGTCAGTCAGGTATTGTGGAGGATACTGACTACTCTGTTTAAAAAACTCGGTAATTGTTTTTGTTTGAGCTTCAGAGAAATTGGTCTCGTGACTTCACTTATTTTATCCACCGTGTTTGTCAAGCAAATATTCCTATTAGCACGGAATATAACAGTTCTTTATTTTTATAAATACAATTTATTTAAGTAAATGTTGTGTTTTTTTTTTTTTTTTTTTATTAAACAGTATTAATTACATTTACCGGCCGGAATGTTCGAGAAATTTCGTAGAAAATATGTGATCACCGACAGAATTGCATTACTATACGGATGCCGTCATTTTATCTGACGTGCTATACCATTTAGCTACAGAGAAGCGGCGTTTGGTTAGCAAAGTCCAAATTAAAGTTTTCAACACACAATCTTCGATGACTCTTCTCGATCGATCATATCTGCTCATTCAGGCCAGTAAATATAATTAATACTGTTTAATTAAAAAAAAAAACAAAAAAAACAGAGCAATTACTAAAATAAACTTATTTATAAAAATAAAATATAAACAGAAAATATATTATTCGCTGTGTTCAATGTTGGATTTGCGTACGAACAAATACAACATTAAATACAGCGACCAATTGCATACGTATGCACGCAAAGACGCGTGGATACGCATATCCGCCCAGTCCAACGCTGTTTATAAATGTTTATGTTTTTATAAGCTGCAGTGCGTGAACGTGCGTGTATGTGTGTCTGCGTACGTATGAGTGGCGTTCCGACGACAATTTTTTCCTTCCACTGCCATAAAACATCGGTATAGGCAACCATAAATAAATCCGAAATTTCAAAACTAACCAGTTGGTCTGACGATCGCAAATACCGTGAAACCCAGTTTCACAAAATCACATTAATCCAACTAAACATGTTAACTCTATCACTGATATTGTGGGCTTTCTAATATATACTGCGCATATATAATATATAGTACTAATATATATATAATTGCATATATATATATATATATATATATATATATATATATATATATATATACATTACACACACACACACACACATATATATATATATATATATATATATATATATATATATATATATAGTTTGTCTGACGATCTCACACAGCGTGAAACGCAGGGTCACAACTAAATATGTTAGATCTATCACTGATATTGAGCGCTTTCTAATGTACCATGGATATATAATATACAAATAATAATATATATGAATATCACATATATATATTTATATTTATATACATGCATACACACACGCGCGCGCGCACACACACTCTCTCTCTCTCTCTCTCTCTCTCACACACACACGCATATATATATATATATAAGAGAAAATGAACAAGAAAAAAATTATGTACTGTAGATTATAAGACTGCCGTTTCTGTAACAAGTGTTTTTAGATTGTTGCTCACCACCTGTCCAAACAGTGCGTCGTCAGGGGTTTGATCACGTCACTGCAAATCTCCTTTCCGCATCTTCAGATTTCTCTAATGTAATGGTCGCGTCTGAAGGATTAAACTCTTGAATGTAAAAAAAAAAAGTAACCCCCGCCACAAAAACAATATATTTCTTTAAGGATTTTGTAAATCTTTAAAGGCACAATTTATGACAGTAAAACCTGCGATATCCATGGGGCGCAAGAATCACATGAACAAAATTAAAGGAAAGTATTTACGGATGACTTTCACCATTTACAGATTCGTAATTTTTTTATACGCCTTTTTCTTTTTTTTAAATAAAAAAAAATCCATTTCTTAAATCGATTTACGGGAAAATATTAAGAAAATCCGAAGATTTAATGCTGGAAGGGAATCGCAATTTTCTGAATTATTCTAAAATAACTGTTGAGTCGAACCGCTGGGATTTCGTACTTGGGTTAAATTCAGTTTAATTGAATGGAACACAAAAGAATTGGATCATAAGAGGACGTTCAAACGTGAAGCCGTGGGATTAGATTTTTCTTTGGTTTGAGTGTAATTGGATTAAGTTACAAAATAATCATGTGGGTGGGGAAAGAAGCCGTGATTCCGGGAGGAACAGGAAAAAAAATATTCATGAAAAAAAGATATTTGCAAAGAGAAAATGCGAAGGGAAAATAGGAGATATGAATAGAAAATTGAAATGATAATAATAATAATAATAATAATAATAATAATAATAATAATAAGAAGAAGAAGAAGAAGAAGAAAGAGAAAAAGAAATAGAAGAAGAAGAAATGATAAAAATAATAAAGTTATTGAAGAATAGATCTCTGCAGCTGCCTAGGATCAAAGTGTCACTTCCTGGAAAGCTGCCTCGGATCAGTGGAATATCTGTACGCGATGTAAAAAAAAAAACAACACACACACACACACACATACACACACACACATATTCAGTAATAAAGGAAGCCAACAATTTCAAAATGGAGTTTAAAATGGGTGAAGAAATACTAGTGAAGCACAATACACCGACTAAAACTGCAAAATACTTAAATACTAAGAGAACAAAATTAAACGCAATCGTCCAGATACAGAAACGATGGCAAAATAAACCGCTTCACGGTCAATACTCTACCCGTACCATACAAGCTGATGTAGACAAACCCCGTACCCATCGGTGACTACGTAGTTCAGGGTTAAAAGCTGAAACCGAAGGTTTTATTCTTGCAGCATATGAGCAATGCTTGTTAACTAGAAATTATCAAATGTACATAATGAAAAATTGTGTAGCTTAAAATGGAGACTCTGCGATAAATATCCAAAAACAATTGAACATCTCGTATTAGGTTCGAACTAAATATAAAATACGGAATGAAAGAATGAGCAAATATCTACACTGGATAATCTGTAACTTCTACGGAAAGGAAACTGAAAGGAATTGGTATGAACTTGGCATCGGTACTTTCGACTCAGTAGTCATTTTATTTTACAGTTGGAATGAGTAGATATAGCCCTAAATTATATTGGGCGCCATTTTGTTGGCCTTTGGGCTCTCCTTCTCTAATATGTAGTAATAATAATAATAATAATAATAATAATAATAATAATAATAATAAATATCAATCACTCCAAAATATAGTCTTTGAGGTAAAC